GGAGCCCCACATGGGGCACCCCACCGGCACCGCGGGCGGACAGGGTTATATCTATATATGGCCCCGGCCCGGCCACACGGCTCATCCCCATCCTAGCCATGAACAGGCCCACATCCGACTGCCCCGACTCCCTGAACCTCAGCCGAGATCTCTCAGGATACTGTCCCCCCTGCACACATGATGCTCCAGGAGTCACCGAGATCCAAGCAGTGTACGGATTCCCTCCGAGTACTGCACGGATTCCCTCCGTCAATCACTGCTGAGCTCAGTTGGGGCGCTCAGACACACCCCCCACCAGGTACCACCCACCACCTCCATCGCACCGCCGCATCCAAATGTCACTCGAGTGACACTTCACCTACCCAAGAGTTCAGCCTTGCTATTCACTGGTTGTCCATGATCACACACCATTTCACATGTTAGTGATCCACTGCTGAAGTGCTTTCTTTTGGAGCTGTCTCAAATATTAGTGCTGCCTTTTGGGGTGTTTATCATGCACAGATGTGATTACAAAGGAGAGGCTTGGTTGATAAAAGGTTAGTAAGTGATTTATAGGTCGTAGGAGTGCATTACAATAGAAAGGTGGTATTAGCACATCAGAAACAAGTTAGAGGTAACTTTTTGACTCACTTGACTCTTATGAGGTTTGAAGAGCTGATCAGACATTCATATGCACCCATCGTTCAATCTTTAAATCTATTTAGAAATACAGTATTAGTAAAAAACATACAGGTATGCTTGGAAAAGGTAAGAAATCCATTCCTTCCCAAAACGCTTACAAGTCATATCTTATTCATACATCTCCAATAAGTCCCAGCATTATTACCTGCACTGTGTTGATGGAGAAACTGAGGCACAGAGAAACATGTTCACTAGACAGCTTGATTAGAGCCAAAGCACTTACAGCCTCAGTGTGATTCATGAGCCACCAGATCTGCTCTCTACCATCCTCAGCTGTAGGATACATCAACAATGAGTTTTAGGTGCAGGGCAGGCCTTACAGGTATCCCAAATCTTTCTGCAAGTTTCTCTCCATGGTCACAGACTGTTCCTGTTTGGATCTGCCAATGCCTCATCCCGCTGTGACTTGTCCTAACCAAGCAGTTTCTGAGATTTACTTATTTCCACCCATCAGGGGTTATAAACAGTGCAAAAATGCCCACAAGGAGCTGTGCAGAGCAGCAGCAAACCCTGTGCTGAGCCCAGACTGCTGCAGCTTGGGCTGGAGCAGAACTGATGTGCACACACTTTCTCAAGGTGCCGTGATTCCCACCCTGCCACAGCCCGAGCCTGCGGGACACGCCGCAGGGGGCACAGCCACCTTCCCACGGGGACATGGGGTTTGGGTTTTCTATCAGAAGGCACTGGGACGGGGCTGTTCCATAGCTGAACTTCTACAAAGGAACTGGAGCAATATCACAGGTCCTCAGATGATCTTTTATTGTCCAAAACCTCCCAAGGCTGGTCAGATTCCCATCAATTGCATTGGCACTGGCAGTAACCTCGTGGTCTTGCAGAGAAGCTCCTACACACAGGATCTGTCTGCAGCTCCTGGATCACAGCAGTTAAAGTGGAGCAATCACAGGTGGTGTGCACGGTGCTATTCTGCTGGCACATTCCGGGCAGCACAGCAGGCCTAGGTCTGTGCAGTGAAACTAAAAAGTGGTCTAATATAAAAATAGAGCTTTAAGAATACCAAAACAACATGACAAGGCTCGTGGCTCTGAAATACCTAACACACCTAAGAACTGCATTTTTCAGGAAATATTTCAGTTAGAGAACTTCAGGAAAACTATTTTTCAAACTGAAATAATTCACATAGGTGCAGAAGCAACACACAAGAAAGGGAGGAAGATTTCCTAGTATGCACTTAAGTTTGCAAGATTGTCATTCCAGTGTATTGCAGTCCATTTTGCACATTACAGTTCTCTCTTAGCAAAAGCATAGTTGCAGCAGCATGTTTTCATCTTTGTGCTGGAGTTTCACACACAATTATTATTCTCGAGTAAGTCTCAAAAACTGAGGTGTGGATTTGGGAGTGTAACTGAACTGAGACTAATTCTGGCTTGGCAGAATGCCATGTCCACACAGTATCACTAAAAAACCTGGAGACTTCAGTAGAAATTCTTGCATGTTGCATGGATTCTAGTTTGTTTTATCATGTTTGGCTGACTTGGTATCTCAGATTGCTTAAAAAAAACCATTTGAATTTTCTTAATGGCTTTGAAGATACAATTTATAATCTCATCTCTGTTCTCTCGCCTTTCTGCAATTGGTTTAATCTCAAGTTGTTACTCAGTATTAAAAAACACCTAAAATAATGCCATTTCAAGTTCCAGCAGTAGAGAGTTTTCAAATTGGTTGCAAGTCTCCTCTTCAGTATGTGGTTGCTATTTAAATTGTTTATATCCATTCAGCAAATGAAATACAAGGTTTATTCTTTTCTGTCACAGGTGTCTCAGTGCTAAAACCATGCAATCTGCTGAAACGCCAGTACCTGTAGCTCAGTATGTCTTTCTTGCAAAGTTCCTTAAGAAAAGTAGTTGGTATATCTGCAGTGGACACTCTGAAATCAGTTTTCAAGAGCCGATTTCCTTGGCTCAAAATTTTCCCTTCGGAAGCGCTTTAATTCTCTCAGTTCTTGTGGCTGTAAGCTCTGGTCCACACCAGGAGTCAGCTTGTAATTTAAAGGAGATTCAATATAACCATTTCTGTACAGACAGACCCGCTTGCAGAATTCAAAGGTGCTAAACATAACACCAAAGTACGGGACAATCTGATAAAATAATAATAAAAAAAGCAATATTAGACTCACTAGTAGCATTCATAGCTTAGATGTTTTAAAAAAGGAAACTTGTAGAACTTCAAATCTGATCTGCTAATAGACCTGTCCTCATTTATATAAAATCAGTCTCACTTCAAACTAGGCTGGCACCTGCAGCATGCTAGAAGTAGGAGTTTATTATTGGTCTATAACTAATTATAACAATATTGTGAGGAACAAGGTCTATGCTAGACTATAGATTATTACAACTTGTGAAATACCTAAGCCCCTGAGCACATCTTGGTAGGAAATGTGGAATTCATTCTACACACAGCAGAGTGACTGAACAATTTCCTTCTTTTTCCCATGCAGAACCAGCAGCTCTGGTGCTGTGTGGCTTTGTACCAGTCAAGGTAGGGCAGGCACAGGTAGCCCATCACAATCAATCACATTGTCACTCAATTAGCACTCATTAGCTGACCTGTATTACTCCATGTAGGTAATCCTCATCACAGCACTATAAAACATATTTATGTACACTAAATTACCTTCTGTTTAAGTTACTGTGCTTTATTTCATGCTTTCAACTCAGCAAGGGCTGTAGTAACCAATACACATGTATTAAATAACTGGCTGAAAGTGCTGCTTTGGACTTCTGGGGAAGTGGCTTACACAAACACAATTTTCTTTACAGCCCAGTACAACATATCAAATTACTGGAGCTCAGCTGAGGAGGAGAACTCCTTTAGCTGTTCTAAGTGGATCACTTGCAATCCCCCATCCATTTCCTACCTTGTGTGTTAGCAGCACTCCCTTGGCTAAGAACATTCAAATGAGCTTGAAAGTAATGACATCTAGAAGCCAACCTTACATTTGGAGAAATACAATACAAACAAGTTCCAAGGCTGGTTTCTAACCTGTTCTGTCACAGATCAGCCGTCCATGAGCTGCTACTAAGTACAGAGGAATGCCACAAACTTTAAAACCCCAACTGTCCAAAACTGTCTTGATTACTTTAAGATAGTACTGGATTGGGATGAAAGTAAACCCTTACCTTGAGCAGACTGGGTGTGAGTCCATTCCAAAGTCCAAGCACACCTTTGTTCTTCACAGTTTGCCGGAAACAGTCAGCCATGCCAGTAAAATGGACATCAACTCCTCCATAGTGGGGAAGCCAAGGACTCTGGGCCTGCCAAGAGACACCCAGGGGGATTTACAACAAGCAGAGGAAAACCAAAGTAATTAATTATTTTCTCTATTCTGGTACATAAGGAACACTCAATGCCAGGTTTCAACAGACTGATCTGGATTCTTCCCAAAAGAATCAGCTATTTTCCATTAAAATATAAAATAAAAAGGGAGGCAATTCACTCTCTGATAGGTATGAAAGAGAACAGTAATTTCACACAGCACTTCCTTTTGTGTCATGAGATAAATCCCACCCCTGTGAAGACAAACCGTCCTAACCAGAGCCACATATCCCATCAGACCCACGTCTGCCAGCTGCTCAGGTCTGAGGGGAGGTATTTCACATCCCTGGCAGTGGAGCACCTATGAGAGGGAAGCCTGGGGCTGGTCCCTGATGCCACTCTGCCTTCCTGTAACTGATGGAACCAGCTGGCTCACCTCTGGCTGCCTAGGCTGTGTCTGCACTGCAATTAGAAGGGTGAACTGTACTATGGGCTCAGCAGCAGCAGCAGCAGCAAGAGAAGGACAGAGATTTCAGCCCAGGCTGTACAAGCCCACCAAGGGCTGCAGAGCAGCAGCTGGTGCCCACGCTCCATATCAACATGTTCAGTTCATACAGACTGGTAAAAGTCAGCTTGGGAGCATCCTGCTGGGCTGCAGCTACGTTTCCAGCTGCAGTACAGACCGTGTCTGTTCACATGGAAGAAGTGTAGTTGGTCATTTTTAACAGCTAAATCCTTTCTTCATTAATCTCCTACTGCGTTAGCACAGACAGGATAACCTGACCTTCAAAAATCCCCTCCTCATCCATCTGTGCACATGCAGCCATGGGTTTATTTTGCATTGGCAAATCAGGGTTTCACTCAAACAAATGTCACTTCTCAGTCAGGGGTGTGCAGGGACCCCAGGACACAGGTTGATGACTTGCAGGTGCAAACTGATCATCATAAGGCAGAAGTTTGATAGAAATGGGACTTGTACAGTGAACTCATTGATGAGTGTCATTATCCCCACATTGATCTGAAACACCATATAGTATAGCAAATTTTCCCTCCTTGGCCAGACTAATCTACAGCTTCTCAGAGCTGCTAAGCCTATAGCAAGCCTTTCATAAATGTACAAGTGGTGATGACATTTTCTAGATGCCTCAGCTATAGCATTTCAAGTACTTGGCAACTGAGATGCTGGAAATGCAAAGAGATCAAAACTCATGCTCTAGGTGTATAAGAGAAATTGCTAATCAAATAGTTTAAATGTTGCTGCATTCCCTTGCATTACTGGGAAATTTACTGCTAAGATTTATAAGCTGACAAAAAAAAAATCCCTGATCACCCCACACACTAACAGCATAGTCTTCTTTGTCTACAAAAAAAAATAAATCCACACATCATCATTTTTTTCTCTTTTTATTTTGTTTTTGTGCATGATTGAATTGTATGTGAAATACTTCTTATGGCAAAAGAAACACCTCCTGCACAAAGACTTTCATGTCTGTACTGCAGAAGATGCTGAATGCTGTGTCTGAGACTTTAGCAACCAATTCCACTAAGAATGGTGATATTAGCAGCAGCAATGCTTAAAAGAATACTCAAATTATGTAAGTATTCCTAAAAATGCAGCAGCAGTCATAGGAGAGCTGGATCCAAAAGCCTGTTCTGCTTTCTGGAATGTCAGTCAGGTTCCACGAGTTTTTTTGGTAAAGAAAGTTAAAGAAATGAAGAGGGACAAGTTTCTGAAATGTTTCAGGAAGGCAGGAATGCTGTTAACACACAATTCCCTTCCTTTTTCAGTCCCTTCGTGGTAGGCAGGGCATGGCCTGCCAGAATTAACTGCATGAGCTTGACTTAATCTCCTTCATTACTGTATACACTGCAAAGCCACATATCAAAGGTTTTGATTACAGTACTCCACCAAAACTAGCAACAAGCACAGTGCAGGTTTCAGCAAGATCCTGCACAGAGTAAACACTGCTAGAAGACAATTAAAAAGGAACAGGTAAGCCAAACACCCAGATTTCCAATGTGCCCACAGACACTGACCTCTTAAGAGATTTACTGAAAAATTATTTATAGCAACATTCACCACAGATAGAGTCGTTCTCAAGATTTCAGTCTGTGAAGTATGTGTTGCCAGTCTTTCTGCCTTACAGAAACAGTATGTTTCTAGGACTCTATACACAGTATTTAAATAACTATTGTCCACAGAATCTCAGAATCACCTACTGCAAAAGGAAGCCTAAAAACTGTATCAGTGGGTAGTTAAAACTTCAGTATTTTGGAACACAGCTGAACAAAGTTAAAATGCATTAATAAAAGAGAAATATTACCCAGGAATTTCATTTGGCACTGTTTTTAACGAAAACAATGACTGTGGGTTTTGGGTGGTTCTTCATCATCTAAGCACGTCCACCACACTGCAATCCTCACAACCACCCCATGGCAACAGAGCCAGAAATGGAAGGAACAAAACAGATCAAACTAGTTTCTCTACCTCTTTTGCAGAAACCCACTATGACATACAAATCAAACAGCTAATCTCACACCAAAAAGGTCAGGTTTACGACAGAGACATTTCACACACCTCAAAGCAGCCTGAATTCTTTTCTTTTGACACCCCTTGATGCTATGGGCTGCTGCTTGTTATGAGCACTTTTAAAGACTTCCTTCCCCCCCATTACTGCTGTCTCAAACTGCAGGAGGCTGGAGATACAATACAGCTCCCAGTGCTGATAACAGTGCCAAGGTGTTAGTCATGGTAGTAGCACAGCTAAGTTGCTTATCCCTTTACCTCTGATGGGCAATGCATTGATTAAAGCACATCAAATGCAGAACTGGCTCCATCTGCTCTCTCACAAATGCAGTATTTTCATATCCAGAGGCCACCAAATCTACTAAGTCACTGCAATACATCCCCAAAGTCAGCACTCTGTTCCACAGTGGCAATCTAAACCCAAGAGAGACACATACCAAAAAAAAAATCCCAACTACCTGCTCTCACTTTTTTTTAAAATAAAATATTTAAATCACGATGAAGTGTCATGACAAAACTCAGGTTAATTGTTATAGTTAATTGTTACCTGAAGACTCTTCCGACACCGTCTCTCCCATTGTCTGCATTACGAGGTGACTGCTAGGACAACATAATCCCATTTTGGGAACTAATCTCACAGACCCTTTCAGTGACTTCCCCCAGCCCCTCTCCTGTGCAGAGAAAAGCTTTTCACTGGCCTTTTGGGACATTTTGGTTTGCAATTATTTGAATTTACACGTATCAGAAACTGTCTGAAAATACTTCCCTCTCAATTCAAGTACTTCCCTCCCCTTCCCTCTTCATAAATTTTGTTGGTACAAATATTTACTATTTCTTTTTTGAGTAAGCAGTACTTGTTGGCACAGAATATGAAATACCAAGTAACAGTGAATAGCTGCCATCACCAGTATGGTACCCTGATGGTAGATAAGAGTAAAATTGCTTTGTTACTTCTGTATTTTCAACAGATTCAGGTGTCTTACACTTCTAATCAATTTAAAAAAAAAAGGTACAGGAAGACACTTTACACACAGCTCAAGAGTTCACACTCTTAATCTGGAAGCTAAAAGAAGAAGTCTTTGCAGTCTGGGTTAATAAGGGCACATGCAAAGGGCAAGTGCAGCTGTAGTTCAAAGGAAAGGAAGGACAAAGATTGCAGTTCTCATTCAAGTTAATGCCACTCCAGTCATCAGAAATTTCACTCAAGTGAAGGTTGAATGCTTGAAAGATTATTTAATTCCATTCCAAAAAGAAAGAATTAAAATGCAAATAAGTATTAATACTGGGTAGAAAAGCACTCTCTTGGGCTAATCAATCCTTCCTCCTGGAGGTCAGCATTACTTAGCAGTCATTGTCTTTTCTGTGTCAGGTTTGGTAATGCTGACTTACCTCTGGCTAAAGTCCACCCAAAGGTATTCAGGCACGTAGGAAGGTAAACCATGACAACTATCAGGATACAATCAGAGCAGAGCACAGCTGCTGACCTCCAGCTTCCTGCACTCTAGGAACACCGTGTCCTCTGTAACCTGAACTGGGGCCAAATCATCTCATCTTTCTGAGGGAGCAAAAAAGTCTGACTCTGCTTTAAATCCATTATCACCAAGCCTGTTGTACCCTGAGGCTTCGTGGCTTGTGACACTCCCTCCTTTATTACTGAATCTAAGCTTTCCCTGCTTTTAACACCTGTGGTATGCAGAAGTCTTTAATACAGAAGTCTTTCTCCTCAAGGTAGTGCAAACACCTTTCATGGGCACCTCTGGGTGGTTTCCAAATGCCTCACGATGGTTCAGTTCAAGCCCTACAAATGGGTGCACCATTTTCATGCACGTTAGCACTAGTTTATTTAATGGTGCAAAACCTTTAGGCAGACCAGCTTGGTCCCACACTTCACACAGTGGACAGCAATGCTACTTCCTGCATCTTCTGATGCCTGTGTAGGAACTGAGGAGAAAATTAATTTTTTACAGGACTGTAGCTTTCTAGAGGACATATTTCCACTGGCCTGGCAGCCACTGGTGGATGAGGTAAGGACCTACATCAAATCAAAATAAATCAGATATAAAAGTAAAGTGTCTATCAAGTTTTAGCTCCTCCTTATGGAGTATTTTGCATAATTAGTCACGTCACATGTCACAAGCACAGACAACTGAATACAAAACTGTCCTGTATAACTGATGCAAAAGTACTCATGTTGGGGTAACAGTGATAGCTGTACCTCCAGAGACATTATTGTCCCCTGGCTGAAAGTGATGGCTATAATAGCTGTGTGTGCACAGCAGCAAACCCAACCTGTGTCAGGCTGTGCCAGCTGGGTGAGCTTACTGAGTTTAAAACGGTGTGCTGAGTTAACCCATCTGATCTGGCCCAAAGCAGATTAAAGAGCTCTCACTCACACCACACTGATCACAGGGCTGCAGAGGCTGTAAGAGGCTGGCAGCCATGCTCAGCAGGGAATACCAAATCCAGGACTGG